GGGGGCTGGGAGCCGCGGCGGCGCCCGGGCAGGTCCGTGTGGCTCCGCCGGGGTCGGCCGTCGTTCTCCAGCTGCGGCCTCGCGCTGGTGGAGGCAGCGCGGCCGCCCGGGCCCGCCCCGGCCTCAGTCGGTTTTCCACACCTTGTTGAGGAACTTGACCACCTCGTCGTAGATGACAAAGACGATGGCCACGTCGAGGCAGACGCGGCCCAGGCGAGGCACCGTGCCCTTGTAGAACCTGCCGGGGAGACCATGAACCATGAGCCTCGTGTCCCCGGTGCTCACCCACGCACTCCCCACGCCTGGGGCTGCCCCACTCCTCTGCCCTCCAGCCTGGGCCCTGGCTGTGAACACTTACGCCAAGGGCCCTTCATGTTTCATGATCTGGTAGGCACAGTCCCAGGTGCTTTTGTACTTGTGCGCTTCAAGCCCCTGTGAGAGAAGGAAGAAGAGTCAGAGATTTGGAGCCAGGAAGGGCCCAGAACGGATTTGGGGAGACACACAGGGAGCAGGAGGGAACTGATCCTGTCCACCGTTTTGGGACACCAATCCCAGCAGTGATGCATTCTGTGTCCTCTGCCAAAGGAAGAGCCACTGCCATTTGGTCTAAACCAGTTCAGAGCTCCATGGGCCCGAAAGGACAGAGTCCACTGCTGCAAGACGCAGGGCCCTTCCCCAGGCTTTCATCTCTCCATTACACTTCCCGAATTCAGGTGCTGGAGCAGTAAATTAGCAGCAGGTTCAGAGAGGGGTTGCTCAGAGTGCAGCCCTCAAGAGCTGGCAGGATCGGTCACAGCCCCAGAAAAAGCACTTTGGGGCTCAAACCTCTCCCTTCTCCTGCATCGCCCAGCTGAATACCCTGCAGGAGAGGGAAAGCAGGAGGCGACGGGGCTTCCACAACCACAGTGCCGTACCTGCATCCTAGTTTTCACCACGTCCAACGGGGTGTTGCCAAAGACACTTGCAGCTCCTGCAAGGGCTCCAAAGACCCCTGTGACAAAGGGGTTGATGACCTTGTTGGGATCATCCCCTGAAAAAAGAGGAGAGGGGTAAGGAGAAGTGTAAGGCAAGAAGTGAAGGACTGAGCAGTAGCACAAGAGGACACAAATAGCACAGCAGAAACAATTGGAGCCCAAGCAGCAAGTCCCGAGTTTTGCTGGCTCAAGGACAGGGCAGTGCTGTGCAGTGAGCAGGAGTCCCAGGCTGTCTAGAGAGACAGGAAGGTGCAAGGGAGCCCCAGGAGAGCAGTCACTGGTTGCTGGAGACCACAAGACACTTGCAGAGGGAGCAGTGCAAGCAGCAACCCCGGGCAGCAGAGCAGGGAGAGGGAGCTGAGCAGCATTGGGTGGTAGCAGCCCTGGAGAGCCGAGAAAGCTGGTGGTGCCAGGGCCCCATGCAGCATTTGGGGGGCACAGGAGGGTGATGCTCCAGCCGGGAGCCCCAGCACCAGCCCAGCTTGGCCCCACAAGCTGGGGACACCCCTTCCCCTGGCCTTTATCTGCCTCCCCTTCACAAAAGACCAAGAGGAGAAGATGCTTTGGTGGAAACTCCAACTGCGTTCCCAGCGGTTCTGCTCAGGTTTCTGGTGGGCACAGCCAGGGTGGCCTGGGCAGGCAGGGCTGGGGAGACAGAGGCTCAGTACCTTTGTACCAGTTCTTGAGGGACGTCATGACGAAGAAACGAATAGCCTGGTTGGAACCTTGCTTGAGCACGGTGGCAGTTAGGCCCTGGTAGGTCCCCTTCAGCCCTGCAGCAAAGGAGAGCGTCAGAGGGGAGCTCCAGCCTTGAGCCCATCGTGACCCCAGGTGCCCCACTCTGATGGGGTCCCAATGTGGCACCACCACGTCCTCGGATGGACACGAAACCTCCCCGTCAGCCTCCCTGTGCTGCCAGGCTACACTCACACCTGGGTTGGAGCAGGGACAGCCTCATGTTGCAGGACTGCCCCTGAGGAGGTGGCTCCCAGCCCAGTGGCCAGGGAGCGGGTCCCAGCCCATGACCCTGCTCCCACCCCACAGCTCAGGGGCACCCACGGACCCGGCTCCCCAGGGACTCACCCTGTTCCCGGACGATCTCCCTCACGCCGTGGAAGAAGCCGCGGTATTTCGGCTGAGGGGAGCACTGGTCGTGGATGAACTTCACCTGCAGGGAGACAAGACGTTGGTCCCAGCGAAGGGGAGAGGAGAAGCGTCTCTGCTCTAAAGAGGCCACCTCCCACCTCTGGCTTTGCTCTGAAGACAGTTTTGAAGCCAGTGAAACCTGCAGGACTGGAAACAGAGGCCAATGAGATCACATCTGTGTGTGAAGCAGGAACAGGGGCACGGGAGGCAAGGGACAGCCCTGCCAGGCCAAGCAGATCTATATCTCCCCTCGTGTTCCCAGGGATCCACCACGTGGGGGCACCCGAACCCAGCAGACCCCCAGCTCCACCTCACTGCGGATCCAGCTAAGCCCCAGGCTGGTTTCTCCAGGCAGGGGGGTGGGAGAAATGCCAGAGCAGCACCCACGTGCTCCATCCCGACACGGGACCCCTCCAGTTCCCCAGCCAAGGGGACTGGTGAGTGACAAGGAGCCCCCTTGGACCGGGGCAGCTGCTCTCGCTCCTACCTTCACGGTCTCCATGGGACACACGACCACCACAGCCTCGGCCACGCCGGCGCCCAGCCCGCACACGAGGCCCCGCGTGCTGTCCAGCTTGCCCTGCTCGTCTCTCATCTGGTTGCTGAGGAACTCGAACATGCCAAACCTGCAGAGGAGGAGGCAGTGCCAACCCCGCGGGCGCCCGGGCTGCCGATGTGCCCAGTGCTGCCTGCAGGCAGCCCCAGCGCCCCGGCTCGCGGGGTTGCTGCCAGGACCCGGCGGCCACGTGTTGGTGCAGGGGACAGCGGGGTTGCCCTTGCCAGGTCCAGCGACCCGGCGGCCACGTGTTAGTGCAGGGGACAGCGGGGCTGCCCTTGCCAGGTCCAGCAACTGCCCATCCTGACTCAGTGCCACGTGAGAGGACAAGCAGGGATCCGCAGACACTCATGCGCCACCGCCCAGAAAAAACCCCTCACGTCGTGACGGGGCTGAGGAAGGCCTGGAATGACTCGCTTGCCTATGAGGTGGCCAGAAGTGCTACCACAGGAGCCAGGGCTTCCTACAGACACTGCATCGAAAAGCAAGGAGCAAGGGCCAAACCTGCCCCCTCTCAGCAGGCCTGAAACCACTGGTGACCACTGCTTGGCACTCCTCTGCTCCCCAGAGCTCCCTGCTGCCGCAGCACTGCACGCGGTGTGATGGGCACAGATCCTGCTCCATGGCCCCATGCAGGACGTGCTCCTGGCAAAGCCGACACAGCCACAGTCCTCCCAGGCTGTTGATGACGTCCCCGGCAGCCTCGCGTGGGGGACACCTACCTCACGGCGGCCTTGGGGATGGAGCCGTACACCAGTGAGCTGAGCCCCCGGTACAGCCCGCGGACACCATGGTCACGGACCGTCTGCTTCACGCAGTCGCCTGGGACAGAGCACATGAGCAGAGGCGTCACCAACGCGTGAGCTCTGTGCACGCGCTCGCCCCTCGCCTCAGGGGGCCACGAGCCCCACGGAGAGGCCCAGGAAGCGAGACCTTGGTGCCCATGGCCCCGCCAACACACCCCCGGGCTGCGCAGCCCACGACGCCCAGGCTCTGCACTCACCGATGCCCTTGTAGCGGGGAGGATTTGCTTTCTCATCCAGCTGCAGCTGCGTCTTCACATACTCGGTGGGGAATGTAATGCAGATCTCGATGCCTCCCGCGAGGCCGCCTGGAAGAGAGCGTGGGGGATACACGGGGTCACGGCTGCGCCTGCAGCCCAGGCACAGCTCGGACAGGCAGACTGCAGCTCTCTGCCTCCCGGGAAGAATCAGGTTTCCATGAGCAGGGAGCAAACGAGCCTTTTGCTTTGGAAACTGCTCCTTTAGCTGCTTCCGTGCATCCCGTCGAGGCCCCATGCTTCGCTCTGCCACAGGGAGCGGATGGATGAGGCGTTGGAAAAGGCAAGATGCAGGAAATGCACGACCTCCAAGGAAGGTAAAGACATAGCCACGACCACATGGCCCCGCTGCAGCCCAGCGCAGGGGCCGCTGCCCCAGCAGGAGCCCATCTGCAGAGCCTCCACTTCGCAATTACCATCAGCCCCATCCTGCGTCTGCAGGAGCTGGCATGCACGCAGCGAGGCTCCCTGATTGCATCCGCGCAGCGCGGCCGGCTCCAGAGCAGCGGGAGCAGCTCGGGGCTGCTGAGCTCTGCCCGTTGCGTCCTCGGCGGCAGATTTAACCCCGTCTCGGCTGGCGCCTGGCAGTACCACTTCCCCAAGGCACGACTCCCACTGGAAGTGTTGTGGATCAGAGGAGGAAAAGGGCAATAAAAGGAGCTCTTTATAATGGCCTTTGCACTGGGAGAAAAAGCACGTGAAGCGTTTGCTGTGGATGAGCCGCTGCCCAGCACTCCACCGTCTTCCTCCCCGCACTCCTCATCCACTCCCGCCCGGCCATGGCCCAGGTCAGGGCCTCCCCTCTCCGGGTCTCGCTCCAGCCGTGGGGACAGGGCAGCCCCTGCTCCTGCCAGGAGCTACCACGGAGCAAAACCAGGCGCGGGCGGAAGCCGCGGGAGGCCGGGCCTCCCTCCAGCCGCTCTGCGGCGCCCTGTGCTCCACGGCCCGGAGGTGACGCAGCCAGGCTCATCCTGGCCCGCGCGCTGCTATCAGCGGGCCCTGCGCCCGCAGAGGGCGTTCCTGAAAGCGCAGCCCCAGCTCCTGCACCAGGGGACTAAAGAGTGAAGTTTCTTCCATGGTGTTTCCCCTTTGGAACCAGCACCAGCCCTCCAAGCTTGTGAGAAGGACCCAGGGCCTCTCGAGGGCCAGCTCACAGGTGGACACGGGAGATGCTCTCCAGGTACCGGCTGCTCTCCCCTGCTCCACAAGCCCCCCAGCAGGCAGCCACACTGCAGCACTGCTTTGTCCGGATCCCAGCAAGACCTCCAGTTTGTCCCTTTGAGGAGAAACATCCTGCACTCGCGCCCTCGCTGGCCAGGACTCACCTCAGTGCGGCCCCATCCTGCTCCTTCCCCAAACACGAGAGCCAGGACACCGGTCCCTGCGCAGGACAGGGCGGCACGGGGGCCTCCTGCCGCCCTTCCCAGCCCCGTGGGCAGAGAGGTGCCCGAGGGCAGCGGCGGTGCTGGTGCCCCCAGCCTTGCTTGGCCGCAGCGGTGCGAGGGGAAGGCGCGATGGGCGCTGTGGGAGCAGCGGCCTGGCCGGCTGCCATCGCCTCCTCCGCAGCCGCGGCTCTGCCTGCCCCGCTGGGTGCACACGCGACGGCGCCAGCGCTGCCAGGGCCCCCAACGCCTCCCTGGCGCTGCAGATTTCCGGCTGTGAACACTCGGGGGGCCATAAATCATCTGTTCCCCCTCCTGCCGCTGCTCCTGCCTCCCCTGTCATCCTGTGGGGTGACACTGAAGGGCAGCCACAGGGCCATGCTCCAGCAGATGCCCAGGCTGTCGCTTTGAGCCCTTTGCCAGTGTGTTTCCTGCACCTCCTACGCTCCCCTCATGGCCACCAGTTCAACACAGGGGTGATTTGTGGGGTTGCCACTGCCCAGATTCTGGTCCCACTACCTGTGCCAGCACAGGGGCTGCATCCCTTGGGGCAGAGGGAGCTGTTCTGCTCCTGCCCACAGAGGGATCCCGGCACCTGGGGCTGGGAAACAGCCTGGGCAGATGCTTCATCCCCCAGAGTCTGTGGTTCACACCAGAGCTCGGGAGCTGGAGCAGGGTACGTTTTGGCACTGGCTGCAGTGCCGAGGTCCAGGCTGCTGCTCCTCACCTCTCTCCTGTTTGGCACCGCCTGCAGCCAAACATTGGGAAAACATCTGAAACGCAAACAGAAGCTCAGGGAAAAACAGCACCTGGGGTCAAAGCAGGTCCACGGAACGGCAGAGGCACCATGGAGAGGGGGATGCTGCCCATGGCCCTGCCCTGCAGCTCCAGCACGTCATCCCAGGGACCACATGGAATAAGGACAGGTGTCTGGTGGCAGGGATGCTCTGTAGCCCCTCCTGTGGCTGCTTGGAAGCAGCAGGGCAAAGATCCCACAGCTGCTTGTGCATAACCAAATCACGGGGCAGGCGAACAGGGGGCTCCGGGGAAATGCAGCCCCGGGGGAGCAGAGCGGAGCAGAGCGCTGCTCCGCAGGGAGACGCAGGGCCGGCTCCCTCCCTGCTCCCAACGTGTTGCAGTGGGACCAAGCCCCGGATCCCACAGGAAGGGACCAAGCAGGGACTTGAGAGGCACCCGTGACTGTGGGCAACTTGCTCCTGTCTCCTCCTCTCCCCGCAGACACAGGGCAGCAGAGGCCACCCCCCACCCAGCCCCTTCCTCCCTGGAACAGGGCTGATCAAAGCACCCTCTCCCTCTGCCGTTTAATGTCAAGAAAACCTACTCCTATGCAAATAAATTGCTCCACTCCCTCCAAGGCGGGCGAGCTGTGGCTCCTTGCATAGTGGCTCCCTAGCCCGGAGAGCAACCTGTTTACCCGGACTTTAACCGGCAGCTTTAGCTCTTGCAACACTGCCGAGTCAGCATGAGCAGCCAGCACGGAGCGCTTAGGAGGTGAAAGAGCACGAGAGACAGCGAAGGCACAAGCTGGAGCCGGAGCCAAGGCTGGCGCGCAGAGCCAGGACGTCCTTCAGCAAAGGTCACGCTCCCTGGCGCTGCTGGCCTTGGGAAGAGGACACGGATCTTCCCCAGATGGCTCCAGCAAAGCGGCCACAGACGTGTCCCCCGCGCGCAGGGAGCCCGTCAGCACCACGGCTGCACCCGGGTACGCCAGCCCGGGCACAGGCAGTGGGAACGGGAGAGCAGGGAAAAATGAGAGTTTGAGAGACAACAACCGCCTTTGTTTTCACTGAAGAGGTTTCAGCCCCGTTGGGGGCCGGCCCGGAGTTCTGCGGGAAAACGGCGCAGCTCTTAACGCCGCTCCGGAGGGCTGGCAGGACAGGGACAGCACGAGGGCAGCGGCCCAGGGACCCCTGTGCCCTGCAGAGGTGCCCAGTCCTGCCGGGCACCTTCCCTGCTCCCAGTGGAGCAGCCACCATCCTGGGGCTCTCAGGGAAAGTGGGGCCTGGAGCCAGCTCAGCATCTCTGTCTCAAGAGCCGGATCCCAGGCAGACACACAAGCACCTGATTTCCATTCAAAACGCTCCTCTGAAGTTCAGGTTTCACAGGATCCTCTCATCAGGCCCACAGGATTACACGGAAGGGGCAGGAGGCAGAGCTCCGATCGCAGCGGGGGCAGGAAGGCAGCGCTGACCCGCACCTGAACCGCCCCTCATGCGGGCGCTGGGCTCCAGATCAGCCTCTCAGCTCTCCTCTTGTCCCCTCTCCCTGCTGCAGGGCGACTTGGCCCTCTCTAGGGCCCACCTGCACCGGCCCCGCTGCGCTTGGGCCATCATCACTTAGCGTAATTAAGCTAAAGAGGACTAATTAATTAAGCAAAGCAGCAGAGAAATCGAAACCTTTCTCCAGCAGTGAAACTGGTTTAACAGGCTTCCCCCATCCCTGCCTCCTTGCCATGGTCGTCGTGGATGAGGGAAGGAGCCCTGGCCCGGTGCCTGGGACACTTCTGCCCCAGGGAGATCCCTTTGGCACTGCTGCCACTCGGATCGCTCCTGGGCCGCCCTGCCAATGCACCCCATGAACTGAGCAGTGTCCTGGCTTTCCCTTTCCATCTTTCACTTGGAGGAAACCGCCACGGAAAGAGCCCTGGAAAGGCATGGAGGATGGGAAGGCTGCAGTCACAACAGAGGTGCTGCCCTGGAAGCCTGCACTGCTGTTAGGAGGAGAGTTAAAGACAAGCACCCTGCACCAGGCCCCCTCTACTCAGAAAACACCCACGTGCAGCCCAGGAGACATCGGGCCCTGCCACGCGGCCCATGGGGCCTGGGGCAAGGCCAGCAGGGAGCACGGGGTTCATCGGTAAATACCTACGTGGCCACGTTTGTCACAACAACACGCTGCGCCCAGGCTGGCCAGCCCGACAGCCCCTCGGGGATGCACTGAACTACAAACACCAAACGTGCCTCTGTACCGGGGCTGCTGCGGGTAAACAGCCCTGTGCAAACAGTGCTGCGATAATACTGTGGACCAGGATGGAGAAATTTGTCCCTAATCTTACTGGAACTGTCCTGTTTCAACAGGCTGTTCTTCCACAACTCCTCCACTCACTGTTATTTTCCAGGTACAGCTCAAGTACAGGGGCTCCCAGCACAACCTGTCCCTGCAGGAGGTACCAACCAGCCTCCTCCTCCCTGCACACCAAGCTCCATGGCTCTCTGCAGGTGGAGGATGGTGAAAACACCTTAAAAACAGCTAAAAATACCCTGGCTAATTCACAGCACCAAACGCCAGGTGCTCTGATCTTTTGCTTCAGAGCACTTCATTGGTCATTTGAAGCAAAACATCTGAGGACTTTGACTTGGCTCAGAGACATCAGTGGGTACCGACCTGGGGGGAATGACAGCTGGGGCCAAACGGTTCAAGGCACTGGAGCACAGAGAGATAGAGAGGGAGCAAAACCCATCTCCTGCTGACAGGAGGTGGCCCCGAGGCCACGGCGGGGCCGGCAGAGCAGGGATTGGCCTTGGCACCGCTGTGAACGGCCGCTGCAGCATCCCTGCGCTGTCAGCGCGCCGCGCTCGTCACCCCAAGGAAGATGGACAGCTCTTCCTGATCGTGTGCATCAGCCAAGACAAAACGGTACCCTGTGGAATGCCAAGCAGGGCAGACATCTG